AACTGAGGTTTGGTGCGCGAAACACTGCTATATGGGAACTTTTTCTGCGATAACCCACCCATTGTGTTTCATTTTAGATGCACTAGTAAGGTATAATGTTAAAAATTGATAAGGCTTGGTGCTTTAACATTTAGTATAATACCTACTACTGACGACTCCAGTGGTTTTTATAGTAAGCATTATTAACTCAAAAAATTTTTGTCGTGCTTACGAAATTCGGTCGTTCTACGGCAGATGAATTGTGACAATGTTTTACGAGCACCTGCATTAGAGACTAGAGTAGAGACTAGAGACACTTCGATCCGGTCACACTGGTGTCACTTTGACCCCATGACCCAACTTTCAATAAAGCCCGCATACAAATGTCTTAATAGAATTGATTAAAAACTGGTTATTGATAGAAAATGTCGCGTCTTGGTTTCATTTAAACAAAGAAAATATCTAAGCGCGAGCGTATTCTTGCTCTGAGTCATTCTAAGCTCTGATTCCGGGTGTAGCTTATGAGAAATTTTATCCATATTGTACAGCAAGATTAATGTATTGATGGTTTGTTTGCTAAGTTATGAATATAATATCCGTTTTTAAAATTGACAAATTGAAATGTTAAAACTCTCCCGTCTAAAACTATATGAGGTTCTCTTAACCCGTCGTAGTGCATCGGGTAAAATCATCAAACGAACGCTTATTGAGCAACGCTACTGGGATTATAACTCGAGACCTCGGGTAGTAAATTGGTGTCCTATGCACTAGGCCACCACAGCATCATTTACTCAGAAAAATACAAAAGACAACTGTTTGGACGTCATTGTGTGGCAATGATTATTCAGCCACATTTTATATATATATCTACTATAGTCATTGGTATATATTTCGGTTTTCTTTTAATCTATGGCTTAATAAATAAATGTACAATTCAATATACTACATTTTGGTTTGAAAATAAACTTTGATTTTATTAAACATTAGTATAGACGTTTCGAATTCGTGGGTTTAAAATAGGTGCCGTTGACTTTGTTGTGTTTATTTGAACGTTTGTCACCAAATGTATTTTCAGTTTGAAATTTCCATACGAGTCCAGTGCCACATAGAGGTAGGAACAGGTGACGGATTTCAACGTAAAACGATCTTCCATATACGTGCAAGCAAACACGTTTACGAGTACTTCTTACTTCGTCCCCTCTCGACATATCGCTAATGTGTTCAATACACGTACGTCTAAGGTGTCATCTACAGACTGTCCATGTATGTCGTTATCATCTTTACAACCTTTAGAATTTACCTAAAATTCTTATCAATACAAGTTTGCAAGTTATATTCGATCGTTCATATTCAACATCGGACGTGAGTTCCTGCAGTGCCAGATCCGAACAGCTAATAATATATGATATATATTCAATGTTATTTCTTTTTCTTTCTTTGATAAAACGACTCTGGCGCTAGGAAACATCCTGTGTGGTGGGACTTTGCACCTACGCGAAATTCCGGACATATTGTAACCGGATTGCGAAGGGACTTTGAAGTTCTGTGGTAGGATCATGTAACAGTGTTCGCTGTTGCACGAATGGGCAGGTCAGGTTAGTACCACGACCTCACAGAAGACTGGCGTGAAGTAGAAGTTTTACACTTCTGCGTTTCGTCTCGTGTGTGGGAAAATTGGAAGCCCAATTGCAACCCTACGGGTGTTGCAAATGTCCGTGGGCGGCGGTTATTACTTATCATCAGGTGAACCGCCAGCTCGTTTGCCACTTTCTCACATTAAAAAACCTTTAGCGCGGATTGAATGCGTGACATAGTGCGCAATGGCGGTGGTCGAGGTGGCCTAGACCGTCGCTCCACCTGTGCACATAGATAAAAAAATAGTATCACTAAACAAGTAAGAAATCGCAATGGTTGCATTCGTGAGTGACGGGCGAGTGGGGAGCAGCCTTGAATCACTTAGAGTACTCGCCGCGTCGTACTTTGCGTCCTCTCTCTGCTCACGTGAGACAACATCGCCGCATGTTGCATAAGCGCTTATAAACTAACTCTGAAGCTAATAGTGATGCATTAAAGAATTGAATCATGCGACAGGCACACAACAGGTCTGATACGATCTACTCTCTCCTATGCCATCTTTGTTATACGCAAGTATGGGAAGCTAACTAAGGAAGCAACTCAAATGGTTAATTATAATAAATATACTTAAGTATGCACACATATTTCTGTTAAAAAACCAAGCCATTGACGCTCTTTACAAGCGAGATGACGTGATCGCTACGTAATTTTTTAAGCAAAAACTTTTTTTCCATGCTTCTTAAGAAAATATCCTTTCGTTTTCCAAAAAAACAAGTACTAAATCACGTCGAGGATGTGGTGAAGCTTCAGAGGTGCCGATGTTGACGTTGGCCAAGAAGAAAATCGTTTCCATTCATTTATGTATCTAAGTTATACCTACCTACAATTTTATACACTTTAATATTTATATTAAATTGTATATAAAATGACATCCACACGGATTCTTCTCGAAATGTGCAGTACCAGTGGTAGTTTTGACGTTTATTAATGGATTGAGACCAATTTAGTATAGTTTTGAAGTTCAATTTGTAATTGTAGTTCTAGTCGAATCTAGTCTCAGCGGTTAAAATGTAACTTTCAAATTCAAAATTTAACTTAAATTATCCACATAGGTACCCTATTATAAGTTTAATTTTGAATATTTACTTTGACAAATTTGTTTATTTAAATAATTCATTACTTACGTTAGCGACTCGTCAACTGTGCTTTTGTTAGAAGTATATTATAACTATCCGTAACCGTAACGAAAGGAACAGAATAGTCCACTGTCCGCTTCTCGTTTTGCTCTCAATCGTCAAATGTTGATTGCGCGGATGAGGCAATGGTATCAGGGATAGCTAACTGTGAAGGGTGGTGGTGAGAATCACCATTTAAATATTTATTTGTTAGGTCTCCTTTCTACACAGTATGGCTCCAAGGTGTTGTCAAGATTTCGGATGACTAATACATCTAGAAAGGCTAAAGAGTTACATGTCTCACAACGGTAGCCGGGGTTAACTATGACATCAAGATGTATAACAGTCAGTCCCGTGACCATGAACGCTGGAAAGGGTTCGAAACGTCGGGAGTTAAACGCGATAAAATCCGTAAACAAGTTTCATTTAATATGTACAATATTCGCGTAAAATTAAGAAAACATCCACAATTAATAATTTTAATGTTTCATACATAATTTTTTTTATATTACCACGCCCAAGTTGTCACTGATTTCAAGTGCTGTATGTATCGTGCATATTTTGAACATCAAAGACTGTAGACGCTCACTATATATGGCTTTGCAACACTACGTGATTTACCAATTTGTACGCAGCGCAAACAATCTAAATAATAATACCATGCCTCCAGCATGACGCCTTATATCACGCAGTAGGCTGTGATAAGAGGAATTGATACATATTGCCCTTGCAGAAATATTTCCTTTTTATAAATCCAACAGATATCTATGTGTATGCCTCAAATGCTACGGGCCTGAGCTTTTATTTAATGCTATTATTTATTTGACGTTTGAATGCTACATATTTGTGCGTTATTTTATGTTTTTCATCATCGTCCCTGCCTTATCCCACCTTGGTGGACATATCATGTTATAAGCGGTTTTTGGCTATATTTTTTACAACCAGCCGCCTGCCTTAGGTTAAGGAAACAATCACCAAAATCAGGAGCAATTATTTGTGGTACACACAAATACCTACTTGTCCCGTGAGGAACTCGAACCCACGACCCCCGACACCGAAGCCAAATAGCTTAGCAACGGGTCGACCTAGTCTCTCGTGACTCACCAGAAGCCCTCTAACGGTGGTTGCAAAAGTCGTGCATCATCTCACACCAGATTGTTGCAAGTATTCATCGGCGGTCTCGCTTATCACCAGGTCACCAGGTGAACCACTTAGTTACTATAATTATCTTGTAATGTAAATGAAAAATCAATAAAATTTCGAAAAACGATTCCCGATTCGCTAATGTTTTGCAACACTGAGTGTCGAGTTGCGGGTGGGGTCCCTTTTCGCTTACATGGCAAAAGCAACTCCGCTTCGGCCTCACACTGATGGAAACGCACATAATTATGTTATTACATTGCGTCAGAATAATAGAAAAGATTGAGCATTTTGGTAAGACGTAACAAATAGAAATATCCGAAAATAATGTTACTAGACTTTGATAATAATACTTAGTTTTAGTATTTTACGTATTTTGTTCGACATATTGAAATAACTTTTAAACTTCCGCCGGATTGTGGTTCGCTAATTATCTATTATTAACGAAATTGCATTTAAATTATACATTGTGCACGATTTAATTAATTATGATAGTTAAATTTGATGCTGCAAATTATTTGATATTGTTCTCCTTAATTGTAAAAAATCTCTTTCTTATTTTCCCTTTCTTGGTGTGTGGTGATTTACATTCTTACAAACTTGCATTGTATTAAATACTCGATTTGCCAAGTAAAAGGATTATTTCCTCTGCAAACCTACGGGTGTTGCAAATGGCAGAGGGAGGCGGTTATCAATCACCGTCAGGTGAACCGCCTGCTCGTTGCCACTCTCTCACAAAAAATAGCTGATACACGTGTGCCTAAAGTACAATTTACATTCGAACGTTGTCATGGACCATGTTTACAAATAAGCCACGATAAGTACAGTCGAGCCGTGATAGCTCAGTGTCCGGGTGCTCGCCTTTAATTACATCTACTCGAGCAACCTGAGTTCGATCCCCGGTGCCAGCACATTGTTCATTTTAAGTGTTGATTATCACGTGCTCGGCGGTGAAGGAAAACATCTTGAGGAAACCTGCATATTTTCGAAATAACCTGCATATTTCCTGATACCTTCTTTACAGCGAATGTGTGTACCAGCTGTGGAACATTTATAGGATATTAGCTTTAAGACTAAGTACAGTCGTAGGGGTACGCATAACCTATCCTATAAGGTACGCTCCCCCGGCAGGGCTGGGCGCGGCGCAGCTGGCCCTGGCCAGCAGCATGGAGCAGTTCGAGTTCGCGTGCATCGGCGCCTCTATGACGGAGGACGAGCGCGCCATCGGCCGCTCGCTGCAGCACTTCGCCCACCTCATACGGACCGTGGAGGACGAGCGCGAGAGAATGGTGAGTACCACCGCCACCGCAGCGCCACCACCACACCTCTTGGTGCAACATCGCCACCGTATTAGTTTCTTTCTGTTCAACTGTTTATTGAGTATTGTTTGTCATCGTTTGTATGTTTGCCTCGCTCTTACGAATGTTAGTTGGAATTATTACGTATCGGCCGGTGAGGGCTGTGACAGCAGTACGTCTTGACGATTATGTATAAGTTATAATTAAGTGTAGTTTTAGTTTCAAACTGGTCGTCTTGTCTGCCGTCCATACGCATTAGCTCAGAGAAAATCTATTAACTTTTGCGTCAAAGACGCTCTCATATATTCGAAGGTGGAAATTAACGCTTAAAAAATTTTCCACTCCTTTGCCGCAAGGAATACGAATGAGGTTATGATTATCCTCTGAAATACAGCTGCAACAGTAGAATCTTTCGGCAAACTTATGCAACCACTGTCCCTTCCTACATTATAAGTCCTCCAATTCTTTGGTGCAAGATGATGCTTTCAGATACCTAGTTTAAAACACTTAGAAATCCGTACATAACTTCTATTATTCAATATTTATTATTCTTGTAAGATAAGAAATAAATTATGTATGTATGTAGGTAATATTTTTATTACGTGTTGAATGTCGCACCGACATTGATTGTAATCAGGCCGTAAAGGTATGCATTATCGCTTTCGAGATTATTCGTACCTTTCCCTCTTAATAATGAATTAGTTTTTTTTATCAATTGTAATATGTGTTTTCAAATCGCAAATGAAAATTTTAAAGAGCAAAGTTTCTAGATTTAGTCGCATAAGATTTATTTTAACAAGTGAAAGCACTTGAAAGACACGAAAAAGCACAATAACGCTTTCTCAATAAAATATCTGTACCGGCAGATTGTTTTTATGGGAAACTTGTTTCAATGTTACATGACGGCAAAATGGACAGCATATGTAAGCACACATAAAATATTTTAGTTTTAGGTCCAGTTTAAATCTTGTGATGTGTGAGTTGACTGTGCCATAACCTCATCATTGTTTTCATCAGTGATGTAATTTGGTTGACTTCGATGCGCGTTATGTCGCGTTGGCCGCTAGAATGGTATCGGTGGCCGACAAAAATGGCGAGGGCCGATTTCGATAAGGCTAGCCCGCGTTCGGTCATAGGATGATGTCAACTGCGGAGGACGCATCTCTATATTACCGTTCACCGGCACCGCTAACCCTCGATTGGCTGCATCAGTTTTGCGCTTGGCTATGCCTACGCGTTCGAGCAGATTGACCTTGTTTCTTACTCATTCGAGGAACTTATGAACATATAGCCTGTTTTCTATGACGAAACTTTGTCTTTATTATACTGAAAGGTAATTTATACTGTCTTCATCGGTATAAATGACCTTTTTTGATGCTTTGCGGCTTTCATCAGCTCCGATCGTGAGTACATTGACGAACAGTTGTTTGATTTACGAATTCAACTACACAAGTAGTAATAATAGTAATTGTACGAAAAAACATTTCCGCTTCAAATGCTGAATTGACGCATGATCTAATTAGTCACCTCGCCAACTACCTTTGGGCGTTGGTTCGATTTCCAAACATGAAACAAAAATTTGTATGATCCACAAATGATAGACTGAACCGTTTACGGATTCAGTAGAGCGACAGTAGAGCTACTAAGTCAGCAAAGTTCTGACTCCGCGGGTAATTTGGCAATGCCATTTCTTTGCTAATGTGACAGTATGTTTTTGTTTCGGGTAATGCAAAACCTTAGTACAACAACATCGCAACATTTGCTTGACAGGTCCCCGTTTAGACCACTTATACTCAATGGATAGATGTTTGATTTTATTTGTAATCTCACCCCCAAACAAATGTTTCTTCGTTTCTAATGAGCGATTTGTGTATGCGTTTTTACAACACACTGAATAATCTAATATTAGCTTTAATGGTCTTTCTGCCACAATGTTAAAGAAATAAAAAATGGCTCTCTATGCGATTATATAATAAGTCCATTATGACCGATAACGAATGATTTGAAATCAGCCTCGAAAGCAAATATTGATCTAAGCTACTATCTCTGAGATCATGAACGCGTCCATTTGCTTTCACGTATCTCAAATTTATTGCTTAATATTGATTTTAACGCGATTCTTATGTAAATAAAGTGAAAGTGCTATAGAGTTCCTCTAAGCATCTCGGTTATGTCTACTCGCAGTGAATAGACGTTATCAATAACAGTAAATTTTGTTTTGACGTGCAACATTTGTGCTTGTAAAGAGATTGCGGTGTTGCATGAGCGCGTTGTGTAATGTTCGTAGTGAAAAAATAAACTATGACTGAAAAAAAAGCAGAGGAGTAGACCATTGTCCTTTTTTATTCGGCGCATGTGCGATTGCTCGTGGGAGCCGGGGTCCTTAGTTCGATGCCCCCACCGATGAGGCATTTAATTGACACTTTTGACACACATTATTGTACAAAATCTTTTAACTGCAACGGGTTAAATGTGAAACTAATTATTGCTGAAATGTAAACTATTCAATTCGAGGACCCAAGATCAGTGGTCAATTTTTGTCTTGGGCATACGGTTCTAATTGGTAGATATATATAATTATGTCGCAGAATCACGATGTGGCGTATAATTTGATTACAACACCATCTATTGGTAGCTCTCGGAAACGTCAAGTAGTGCGCTTGAGTAAGGTCGATACAGGAAGTGAGAGAACGGACTTGACGGTTATGAGTTGTGGAAGTCGATTGACATCGGACACGGGGGTGTGTTCTGGACGTGCTCGGGCACGCCACTTAGAAAAGGGACGGCTGTGCGAGCGGTCATCTTCCTGTATCCAACTTGCTACGTTTCCATTCAATTACATCAATGTGGTTAATAATTATTTTCGTTATTGTTGATTTTAATCGAACAAATAAATTACAATGAGGGATCTGACGAGTTGTCCTATGGACCACATATATACGACATATATATACCGTATTTGTACCGTATTTCTTACTATACATACCCGTTTACTATTTATACCCGTTTCTCAGAGCATATAAAGTCTCACAAACGTGACTAGTGGTGGAAGCTCCGTGGCTCCGTACACCAAGCACAAAAGCTTGGAAGTGTTTTTCGAACGTTCTTTCCGTGCACGCATTAGGGATCGAACCCTTCATCCAGATCTCGAGTCCCACTTCCCAGCCGTTGACTCAACACCGCTTCACCTATTCAAATAAACATAATACGATTTTTGTGAAAGGATAACGTGTTCTGGAAACTTGCTCTGGTGAGGTTCTTAATATATCGAATTATAAAATATTCTACTATTTAAATAAAATTTATATATATTTATATACGTTATATATGCTCTTACGTGTTATAGAAATATATTATACTAAATGTAATCTGTAATAATTACTTTAAAAAACTTTTAAGTTAAACGGTTTTATTTTATGTTTTTTTTTGTTAATTTTTTTTTGTTAATATTGTATTGTATTGTCATCTAAATTAAATGTGTGTACCAAATTTCAGATCAATCTGACAACGGCAAGGTGCTTAAATTTCTAATTTTGACCCAAATAAATAAACAAACAAATTCCGTACGGGTCGAGCTAAATAAAACCGTTTAAAAATCAGGTACTTTTAAAACACCTGAAGATAAAAAGGTATAAAAATATCATGATACAAACGTATCGATTATTTTTATATCATAATGGAAGCTGCTAGTTACTGACAAATTCTTTGAGTTGGAAACATCGACTATATAATTTTTACACTATTAAAGATATAATTATATGTTTATATGTATAGTGGCTTTCACGATATTTCCTCTAAATTTGTTTCGTTTTATTTATTGTACCAATCCCTTATCGGGATTAACCCAAATGCCGCGCTACAAAACTTATCGTATACGGAATGTGTGTCAAGAGGTAGACGCCTTTAGATATTGAAATGAACCTCATGGTGTTGTTAGCCATTCGTAAACACAAAGTAACTTTTATCGTTTAAGAAACTGCTTCACGATCTCTTGAACTTACAAGAAATGGTCGAATGTTGTCCCATGTTATCGGGTCTGAACGCATTACCAAAGTTTATGTAGATCAAAATTTCCAAAAACTACACAATTAGTGAAACGATCTGGAGCTAGATTGTTGGGTTTCGATTCCCACTACTAGATGAACAGAATGTTTTATATATTATTTAACTGTCTTCAAAAAAGGAGTATGTTTTTTACCTCAGAACTTCGCCTTTTATGAACCGGTTTTAAGTGATCCCATATTAATTTCATTAGTTTTTAAACGGTTTTATTTAGCTCGACCCGTACGGAATTTGTTTGTTTAGTTATTTGGGTCAAAATTAGAAATTGAAATTTAAGCACCTTGCCGTTGTCAGATTGATCTGAAATTTTGTACACACATTTAATTTAGATGACAATACAATATTAACAAAAAAAACATAAAATAAAACCGTTTAACTTAAAAGTTTTTTAAAGTAATTATTTGATTGATGGAGATGCAGGTCTTTCCTCAAAATATATAAAATGTAAGGTGAGATTTAAAGTTGGCGTTGTTTTGTGTTACAAAAAATGTTCTTGTTTTCAAGTAAAACTAGTAACTAACATCATGCAGAGTTCAGAAAATCAAGTTGACTCCTTTTCTGGAGATAAATCATTAATCTGATTTCACATTTATTGTAATAAAACACTGTATATTGTATGTAAGGCATACTTTTCATGTATACAAATATGTTAGTGATCATTATTAAACATCAAATTCAAGACGTAATTGAATTACTCAATTTAAATTCGTGGGTAATTAACGTAATGTTGTCGAGTTGTAATAAGATTTTGTGTTGTAACTAATTACCAAAGTAAACGGTAATTAAAGTTGATAAAGTCTAACGACTTAATATTTAATGATAAGCTTAATTATTATGGATTTTTAGAAGCGATTGGCGATGTTTAATTTTAAAATGGCAATAGTATAATTGTATAATAATATTATATTCTGATGTATAAGGTATATTAA